GGAGGTCCCTTCCAACCCCTACAATTCTGTGATTCTGTGATCTCAGTGCCCTCCTCTGGACCCTCTCCAACAGCTCCACATCCTTCCTGTGCTGAGAGCCCCAGACCTGGACGCAGTGCTGCACATGGGGCCTCATGAGGGCAGAGTAGAGGGGGACGATCACCTCCCTGTCCCTGCTGGCCACCCCTCTTCTGATGGAGCTTCTTGTCCACCAGGACCCCCATGTCCTTCTCCACAGGGCTATTCTCAAGATTCTAGTCTGTATCTGGGGATTAATCCCCAGTGATTTACCAGAAGCACATATTAAAAACACTCTTTTGGGCTAATTTGGGGCTAAAGAAGAAGTATTTCCGTTGGAAACAAGTGAGACATCTTGCAGGGAGCAGCCCATCCCTTCAACCAAAGTCCCAAATATGAGATGGCTGAAATTTAGATAAGGAACACACACAAAGACTAAAGTGCAGTTCTGATAGCAGCCAGGCCTTTACGGCACAGCAGACAGGGACTCCATGGTTCACCTAACTAATAGTGACTTTCCTCTGCTTGAGAGAGCTTCGCTGTCTGCCTCCTGCTCTTCGTGCTCATCGGTCCAGGTCTGGGATTTTGTCACTCCCCTCCCCTGGAATCCCTGACACATAACAGGATCAGTGAGCACCTGTGCCACAGAGGCACCATCAGAACTCAATTACATAGGCATACCAAGGCCTTCTGAAATAATCTGCTTTGGTCAAGTTAGGATTTATCTTCTGCCACATCTAAGCCCACTGAGTCCCTCAGGTTTACCATGGGCTGTTGTTTACCTCAAGCCGGATTCACAAGCAGAAATCACAGGGGGTCTTCAACTCAGCACTACAATGCTCCATCAGCTGCCCCAAGCCTGGTCGTCCAGCTCTGCTCCCAGCATGACAGGGCCGCAGCTGGGACACCCAGCCTAGCCCTGCCCAGGCCCACAGCACTGTGCTGCAGGACACCCACCCCACTGATGTCATCCCATCAGAGAAATCACCCAAGGTTACATATAACACTTCAGTCCCAGGGCCATCACACCATCTAGAAAAGCAAGAGATGGAAATTGCTTTGTTGGTGGTGTCGTCCAGTGCTTCTGTGAAGTCTCTGTTGCCACTTTCAGATCCCTCATGGCTCACACCACGCATTTAAATCCTGCAGCACTGTCCATCTCACACCTTGCTAACACTACAAAGCCCTGGAGCTCAAAGGCTCTTCTTTTCTTCTTCAAAGGTTTCTCTTTTCAAAATATAAGTACTAAGGAGCCTCACAAAGAAAGCCAACCCTACAAAAGGCCTTTCAGAAAGCCTCCTGCCCATGCCAGACTTACCCTGGACCTGTGCAGGCCCCTTTCAGTACTTCCAACCCACAGGCACCTGTTCACACTGACAGTAGATTTTTAGATTCTCAGACCAAAAAAGCAGCAGCATTTCCTTTGAAATCAGCAGGTTTCGCAATGCATGGTCTGATGACTTAGCCTGAGAAAACAAATCACTCATGAAACAAGCACAGAAATAAATTCTGCAACATCTGGCACCTCTTGCAGGAGGGTCCTCAGCCCACAAAGCCACATCTCTTAAAGTCCCCCTGAAGGTAATCATGTGTATCACACTGCATAAAAGAACTGCGGACGCAGTGGTGAATTTGCTATGAAATACAACCCCTAGAGCTGCACAGTAGAGTACCTGACACCACAGAACCTGCACTTAAATTTATTCCTAGGAGAACAGCAAGTGTCCCATTATCTATTCTTCATGACTGAGCAACAGAAGACAATTAACTTGTCTGAGCACACACATCAACTTCTTTTTTGTAAAAAACAAAACAAAACAAAAGCACACCCTTGTGGTTAAATGACGAGAAGTGCTTTTAAAAACAGTGCAATAAATAGCAGCTCTTTGAAACTTGTTAATAACACCTTCTTGAAAGGCTTCCAACTGGTGATGGCTTTAACAGTTTGGGGTGTTTTTTGTGCTTTTTTTTTTAATCCCCTTTGCATGGTTAGCCATTTCCTTTGGCTCACACATCATTATAAATAACTAAATTTGAATGCTCAGAATCTGTTGATTAAAACCAGAAGTGTAATGGTAATAATATCATCCAAGTGGAACACAGCAACGTCATCCTGGAAGGCTAAGGAAGGAGGGGGCCAAGAAAAGCTTAATCCAAACTTGTCATTGGAGGCCGGAGGGTTTCGGGCAGCCTCTGCTCCTTCTTTACACATCTTTGGAAATGGTATGAACATGTCTGGTCAGCATGCTGATGCTGGATCTGACAGCAGAGGAAAGGCTGCTCATAACTCAGATTGCTTATTAAACTAGACTTTCATTTTTTATAAAAATGCATCAGAACAAAGATGTACACATATCAACCTCACCTTCCTGCATTTTCTGCATCTCAGCAAGAAAATACATAAAGAGACAGAGCATTGCTCTTCTTGCTGTCATTAACAATTCACCCAGACAAAACTACCATGGTGCCTGTGTCGTCCTGAAGCCAGAGCTGGGACCTCTTGCAGAGCCAAGGATCTCTATTATCTGTCTCCTTTCCTGCTCTTTCTCCAGGCTGCCTACTGCCCCTGAGCATGCAACACTCCAAGCACTTTCCTGGGCAGAAGACGCACTGCTGGCCTTGGCTCAGAATCATTTAGGTTGGAAAAGCGAGATCACCTGTCTGACACACCCCTGCCCATGCTCTCTGCCCTCCGTGCCTTGGCTGGAGAGGCCATGCGGTGCCAGACAGCACACAGTGCTGCAGAGTGAGAGGTGGCCACAGGACTGCAGCCACTGAGCAGCACCACAGCTCCTGACTCCTGCTGTCACTGAGGCAGCAGGCGCATTCACAGCAGGTATTACTGAGGCATCACTACATTACCACTGCACTCCTTGTCACTCCTTATTTTCTTGCCTGTTTGCACAGTGCAAGCACCTTATGCTTGCTGCAGGAAAGTACTATTCAAGGATAGTTTAAGAAGTGCTTCAGCAAGTGCATTTAATAAGACCAAATACTTATTTCCATTCTGACACTTTCAGACCCGGCTCGGTGTGTGAGCTGTTTAGCTGCAAGCCAGACATTGCAGTTTCTCAGAGCCTTGGCTCAAGGTAGACACTGAAAAATGTAACCCACAGTTACATTTCTTGACACAATTTTAGTATTCATATGTTTGGAAGCATCCAAAGTATTATAATCTTCCACTAATGAGCACTAGAAAGAAAGCATGTTTTTATTTTAAATGCAAACAGTTTTAAAAACGACCAGTGACTTCAACACAATCAAACGAAGCATTTTCATTTCTCTGTCTAAAATAAACTTAAAGCAAGTCACCTCGGTGCATTCCACAGATAAACCTATGCACAAAAATGCAAACCCAGGCTTTGTACCCAAGGAAATTTAAGTACAGAAGGGGTAGCAGGAGTTTTTGCAGAATGTTTAATTGCATGGAGCAGGCATCAATACATGGCATGTCTCGTTCTCAGTCCGTAAGAGCAATTTAAAGAGATGCAATTGACTGTGTGCACAAAGCCAAAGAGCCCACTGCGGTTTTTTTTTTTTGTTCAGGGTTCTTCTAAATCATGGTACTCCCACCTCAGATTTTCCCAGCACTTCGTATGCGGGAGCTTCTTTACTTCCTGTCTTACTCTGGTGGTAAACTGACAAGAACATTTTTTGTGAAATCCAAGGGAAAAGATGGCTTTACAGTAAGGCACCATTTGCGTATGTGAGAATCAGTGACAGCGTAGTCAGAGAATTCAAAGAAGCTTCAAAGCAGCACCACCCAGAGCCTTAGAGAACACCAAACCCATCACTGGGGAGCTGACAGGAAACGTGAGCAAGTGGTGCACACCCAGAACAGAAAGCTACAGAAGAAGCACCTCTTTCTCTCCATCAGCCCCTTGCCAGCTGTAGCTGCAGGGACACATGAACAGACACACATCTTAAACCATCTGCAAGCTGACCCACAAGCAACAGCAATTTGCAAGGATTAATGAATGAGGCCTAGCCATTGCATTTGTGACCCACAGAACTCAGAGATTTCAAAAATGAAGCACTGAAAGATTTCTGAAAAGTTACCATATACCAAATATTTGTAGGAGGCGCATCAGGAAAAAACAATAAACGCATTTTTAAATCCATATTTATTTGTAGCCTTTACAGAGATGAACACAACGTCAGCATCGCAGCTTTGCCCCAACACCTGGCTGCTGGCTCCACACAGCTGTCACCCACATGAACTCAGAGGATATTCAGACCACGTCTACCATTTTTTAAATTCTTCAACCTTCAGTGTCACTGTAATTTTTGTGTTCACCATCACATACAGCTTAGGTTTCTGAGAACAGAAGCTACCTTTTATTTGGAAAACGAGTCTAATAAATCAGCAGTAAGAAAGAAAAAAATGAAGAAATATCTATTAATAATTTCTGAGTAGGCAACTCTACTGCAAGGTAAAGATACAAGTAGACTGAAAATTAGCAAGGAAATTCGGGTACTACATTCAATCACCAGTGATGCACAATAACCTGAGTTGTCCATTTGGTAACGCAGCTTCCAAAAAGGAAGAAGCCTCTAAGTTTGATTGTCTTTCACAGAAAGTTTTGAAGTTAGTTTTAGTGCCCATAAAAAAGTACCCAACTGATAACACTGGGGACCAAATTGCTTCCTTCGTCAGAGGGGCTCCTGCGTGAGAGGCAAGCAATCGCCTGCCAGTTTGTGAACTTTGCTGTTGCACTAGCATCAACACCAAGCACGAGGCTATGCAGTCCTCTACAGACATTCTCCTTGTGGTCTGTGCCAAGACTGTAAAGCAAGCAAAGAGTGTGCAACACAATTGAGTTAAGATTAACTGGACCAACATCAGCAACCTGTTTTGCATAATGCAGAAAGGGGCAAACAATTAGCAGCCACCACCTGGTGCAGGACTGAGCAGTCCATCGAGCCCTAAAAAGACCTAAGTCAGAATCATTAATTCTTAGCAAATTCTTATTCAAACAATCTGGCAACAAACATCAATTTTTATTGGTTTCCAGTGACAGGACAGAAAAAAAACTATGAAGCCTCCATTAAGCTTCAGTAAGGGCTCAGAGAGGTGCCAACCAACTCTTAGTGCTTACACACTGCCTATAGACGTTTGTAAGAACCAACATGGGCATTGCAATTCGGACAGAAGTGTTCCACATCTTTCAGAGCATCAACGCAAAATGGAATTAAGCAACAGCCAGCTATGCACCTGCAAGGAAAAAAATACAATGCCTGTCAAGGTTTTATGATTTTTGGTTTTCGGTATTCCACATCATAACATCATGTGGGGCACTGGGAGTTTAACTGTTAATGCTCAAGTCCTGGTCCCAGCAGCCTTTCCTCTGCTGTTAGATCCGGCATCAGCATGCTGACCATAGTGCTTTACCACTTGTTACATACACAAGATCATCAAACCACATTTCTGTCAAGGACAAAAAACACTTCCTTAAACTTTCCTACCAAAGCCATCCGCAAAACTGGTGCCACAAAGCTTTAAGACGAACACAGGTGCCCGCAGAGCTAGGTGTTATCAACCTGCTGCTAGGCCCTGCAGGGCTTCCAGCCAACGCCATCTCTTCAAACCACCAAGGGTCAGAATGAGAAAGCAACAAAGCTGAGACTACAAGGCTTTACTACTGCTGAAGGCTCTAAAAGGTCACACAAGAGGAAAAAAAGTGAAGTGCAAATGAATCGACCTACCCCAGCAGGCAGAGGCCACCACATGACAGCCAAGTCAATGCTCCTGGCTCATAGCAGAGACGTGTCACGATCACCTGGTTACAGGAAGGGCAACTCATCTGAACTGGGCGGTCGTAGAACACCACTACTGGTTGGTGCACATACACCGTCTGAACTGTAACTGAACAAAGAAACATTTTGTTTATTCAGTGGGTAAATGAGGAAGAAAAGATAACCAGCTTCCTCTGAACTACAATCAGCCACAGCTCTGAAATACTTGAGGCTCAGAGCACTGAAATGCACAGTGACAAAGAAATCACCATGATGTTTCCTAATGCAGAACACATAGAATATAAGAATAGGTCTGTATTAAAAACTGCAGAAAGGCAAAGCATGTAATTTATGTCATTTTGCTCTGTATGTATTGTGAGACTTGCTTGATCTTATTTCCTAGTTAGGTAGGAAACACCCGTCAGCCACAGTCCTTCAGTTTCTGCACAGCACCTCTGACAACAACCTGACTGCTCTTTAATGTGGTACAGTCAAGCTTCAGGCTTACCAGGGCTACTTGTTGGCATGGGCTGTTCTGGGTACTGGGGAGGGTTCACTCCCTTCCCACCTGGTCTGAGGCCAGGATCTGGGACAGGGTAGGGATGAGGATAGTTCACATTGATTCCTACTGTCTCTTCATATGAAGGTGGTGCAGATGGGGCAGGAAAGCCACTAGGAGCAGACATCATATCTAGAACATAACAGAAAAGAATGTCATAACAGAAGAACTTATTTAGAGAAAGCAGCAACTTGTTTCAGACAAACAGCAGGAAGTAACTAGATCAAAATGCACGTTTCACAGCACAAACTGTATTTAATGCCATCAGAAAGACAAAACATAAAAGTTGAACTCAATAGTATTGTTGTTTTTTTCCTTCTCTTTATCTCTTCACAGTTTTTATACATCTTTCCCTCACAAACTAAAAATGCCACAGCCAGGACATGGTGTGTCCTTATTACTGTGCTGAGCTGTCTGGCAGTTTCTCCCAGTTCTCCAGAACTGTACTTCAGATGTGCTCAGTCTCCTCCAAAAGCAAGAAATACGACGGACTGCACAGCGTTTGCTGACTAACATGAGCCTCGTTTGTGGTGAAGTGCAAATAATTAAAATAGAACACTGATCTTTGCTGCAATTTGAAATAAACAAGTGCTTATACTGAAGGGAAAAGAAACCCCAAACGACTAAGCACGTCCAGCTCAATTCAAATCTTTAACAACTCAATCAAGTAGTAAGTGTATCATTTTTGCTGCTTACCCATGTTTCAATCAATGCAAAACACAACTTTACCAACGATTACTTTATTACAGAATAGAGGCTTGCTAACCGTTGCCTTTTCCCAATAAGTGTTAACCTAAGATTAGAAAACAGACATCAGAGGGACATTCCAGGAAGTCTGGTCAGCATTTTATTTCAGGCAAGACTCACAGCCTGAGTCAGCAATGTGTTACATTCCCTGTGCAACCCCAAAAAGGCACTGATAGACTTTTCACAGTTTCCATTTGTATTTTGCTCACTGCAAATAAGTGCAGAGCAGCTTATACCCTTAATCATGGTATGTTTCAGATACTCTCATCTAAAATGCCATTGATACACAGCTGCCTGGAAAGAGCAACCAACGTATAACACCTGAATGCAAAGGAGAGAAAAAGTTAAAATCACAAACCAACATCGGATCAAAACAAAATTGAGTTTAATGGGCCCCACGTGGGACTGAGATGAATTTCCAACAAATTCACAAACTGTACCCAACTGTTTATGCAAGGACATACGTCATGTGATGAGTAGCTGAGGACAGACAGTAAACTATCTAATGGCTTAAAGCTGGCTTAAATCAGGGGAACTGAGCCAAGCAGAAGCTGGACTCTTCATGGGTTCCTTCCAACTCAAGGTATTTTGTGATTGTATGAAAGGACACTAATTCAGTAATTAAAAGATAATCTGAACTTACGCGACTGAAATAAACAGGCACAAAAGAGCTGATGGCAGAGGCAGAAACAGCCCCCAAGTTCTGTCTTCTTAAAGCCCACTCTCAATTGCTGCTTCCAAATGCTTCAAAAGGGAAGATGGTGGCAAATACTGGGCTGTAAGGAAAAACAAGGATAAGACGTAACAAGGAAGTAAACGATGCCAGAAGGTCAGCCTACTGGTTTGCATACGTGCAACTTACTGACAAAACACGATACGCAAACAGTGAATGACCAGGGCACAAACTAAATGCAGGACCAGACCTTTCACTTGGATACACAAGAATTTCCACATACATCTGGGAGTTTCAGATCCAAAAACCACCCAGCACGGAGAAGAACTGAGCAGTTCTTGCTTCTGCACCCTGACTCTCATAACCCTTCCCCCTCAAGCCTTCAGAAATGCATGCAGCAGGACAAGGACCAATGGTTTCAGCTGCCCATCCCACTTCACATTTCTACTTTTCATAAAACCTCCTGTGTTCCAAGCACACAACAAGGCGGCCATCAGCACACTGTGCCCAGCTGCACTAACATTGGGCAGGTGAGTCACCAGACTCCAGAGAAGGATTAACAAACAGCAGAAGCACCGGCTCCCTCCCCCAGATTTTTCTTTTTGCTTGCGATTCTTCCTTGAGAGAATGGACGCCTAAATCTGCTCACGCTTTCCCAGCTCAAACCACCTGCATTACAAGCACACGCTGAGGCAGAACAACACCTGCAGGACACAAAGCACTTTCCTCTGTACATCCCTCACTTTAGAGCTCTGCTGCTCCACAAACAAAGCAGAAAACGTCGGCATAAACAGAGGAAAACGTCTGGTAAGGATACAGCATTCACAGACTGCTGCTGGAGCTAAATCAGCACACTAGATGAGGTACTTATGCTAGCTGGAGACCAGGAAGCAACAAAGCAACAAATTCTACCAACAGAAGAATATTCTCCCACCCATTGGAGAGTGCAGCACAGCACTTTGACACTTCTGTGATGGCACTAAAGCCACATTACATTTCAGGGAATGAAAAGCTTCTAGAACTGCTGTATATTTAGCAAAGGTCAGAAATGCACAGCAGTTTTTGCATAATTTTGCACTTTGTTAATTCAGACACTTTCCTGCTCCCCCAGGTTAATCCTGAACTAAAAGCCCATGCAGCAGTGTGAAACCAGTGCCCCACACTGATGGCCGCGGCTCTCATCTCCCTCTCCTCCTTTGTTTTTAAGGAAAGAAGTAGTAATTCTGGAGCACAGACAACTACGAAGTATTACAACAAAGAGTACAAAAATAAAACCGAGAATCAGTCTCTCTGACATTTATCGAAGCGGCGGTTCGTTAATAAAACAAGTGAACACACACAAGAACGAAAAAGCTGTAGGATTACAAGACCGGCTCTTCTCGCAGTAACTGCAGCCCAGCCCCACGCACCGCTTTGCTGCCTTCGTCCCCTCAGAGCAGCTCAAAGAAGGGTTTCAGCTCTCAGTGCCGCCCCGGAGCACAGCGCGTCCGGCACCGCCGGCTGTCCCCGAAAGAAGCCTGCGATCAGGAGAAAGAGGAGGGAACGACCCGCCTCGTTATCCAGGCTGCAAAACCTCTCGTATTGCTTTGGCACTCAGCGTCTGCGGGATTTTTCACTCGAGGAACGTTATTCGGTGAGGACGTGAAGTTGGTGATGAGATTTGCCTCCATTTCGTGCAGCCTCCGGGCAGCAGAGCCTCTTGGTTTTCTTCCTCAAAGAACAGATTTCCAAACCCAGGCCGGCCATGTCAGTGCATCGTCATCTTTCCCTTTCTCTTAGGGAAGCTGGAACTTCCCTATTTCTCTACCTCAAGCTTTCTGTTTCTCTTCTCCCCTCGCAAGAGCCCGGGCTGCTTTCCGGCACTGCGAGCAGCAGCTGAGCCCGGCAGCTCGCAGCGCGACCGCGTTCAGGTGCGCCGGGGTTAGACGGCAGGCATGAAACATAAGGCATTAAACAAAAAGCGGCAGGCATGAAAAAAAAAGGCGTTAAACAAAAGGCGTTAAGCACAAGGCGGCAGGCATGAAACAAAAGGCAGCGGCAGCCGTGTCCCGCTCGGACACCCGAGTCACCCGAGTACGGAGAGCAGCCCTCACCTCCCCCGCCCGCGAGCTGAAAGCGGCGCGCGTTTCTCAGACGGGCTCTTTGGCACAGAGAGCCGCGGCGGGTTGCGCCGAGCAGCCCGTTCTCAGCAGAGGCGCGGCAGGAGAGCGCGGCGTTGGCTCCCCGCGGCCGGACGTCTCCGCGCTGCAGCCCGGCCGCCCGCCGCACGCACTCCGCTCCCCCCGCAGGTGCTCGGCCGCGGCCCCCGCCGCCCCGGGGTCGCTGCCGCCGGCCTCGGTCGTGCGGAACGACAGACGGGAGCCGAGGCGGCCGGACGGAGCGACTCCGCGGGGGCTCCGCGCGGCGCTCCGGCCCGGGTCCGTCGTCTGAACTCTCCGAAAAAGGGACGGAGCCGACCCGACCCGACGCAGCGAGGCTCCGGGCGACGCCTTCGGCCCTTACCGCCCCACAGAGGATCCGTGTCAGCCCCGCTCTCCCGAACCTCCGCCCCGTAGCGTTTGTCCCGTCCCTTTCCCCTCCCCGTTTGCTCGGACGAATCGCGGCTGCCGGGACACCCCCGGCCCGGCACTCGTGCGGACGAAGCGTTTCTGACGGTGCTCGGGGCGCAGCACCTCGTGCCGCCCGCTGCTGCAGAGCAGAGCACAGCCGACCCGAGCACCGCGCCGTGCGGCTCCTGCAGCTTTCTGCCTCGGGGCACCCGAACTGAAAACAGCGATCGCCCGCTTCCCTGTCAGCAGCAGTGGCGGAGCGCGCGTTTCTGAGAGCGAGGAGAAGAAGGGGCTCCCCTTAACTCCAAGGCACGCCTTTGTTACCAAGTCCGGTTACTTCAGCCAACGCTGCACTCAACAAAACAAAGAAAACTACAGAAGCCTCCCAGCAGACACAGTGACTTTAACGAGGGCTCTTACAGGCAATCCATTGGATTCAGCCTCTGGAAACTTGCAACACGTTGCTCCTTTCTCCATCCAACCAAACGCAAGAAATAAAGCAGAAAATGATCACCGGGCAGATCGCAGTGTGGGATTCAAAGAGCACTGCGTCCCTGCCGTAGCTGAAGTGAGCCAGTTGGCCAGATTTGTCATTGAGAGCTTTAATCTGCTTTGGACTGGAAGGGCTCAGCAGGAACTTTGTTCAGGTTTTTGTCTGAAAGTATCTAAAAATCCACTGAAGTCCTATTTTTGAGCATAAATCCTCTCTTGGACCTCACCTCAAGAAACACACAGAAAGCTTCAATTCAAGTCGTCCCAGAGCCAGGGACAGGACAAAAGGTGTTCGCAATCCAAGTGACAAGAGGTGAACTCCGCAGTCAGAGCAATCTACAGAATTGGCTACAGGTATTTGTACACAGGTTTGCATCAGATGCTGAAGTGCGAGGGCACTGTGAATATTCTGGGGAAGAAGAGGAGGGGAAAGGGAAGGAAACGTGTGATGGGTTTACTTCTGCTTTGATTCGGCTACATTCAGTCCTTCTTACTTCTTAGCATTTGAACCCAAAAGTAAATGTGACTTAGAGATGAATGACTTTCCACCTCTGTTAAGAAATCCCATGATGATATTTATCATATGATCACATCATGATGTGTGATCCCCAGATGCGTTAAAACCAGAATAACTTTGTGCTCTTTGGAACTAGATTTCCTTTGCCAGGTGGGTGTGAGCAGCTAAGAAGCCACAGCAGAGAGAAGCCAGGACTGAATGCACCTCCCGGGGTGAAGGAAGGCACGAGCTGCACCTGAATACCTTCTTACTCTGTGTCACGTGTTGCTTACATCTCCTCACAGCCTGTCTCCTGCTAAAACTTTTCCCCTTCTGTGGGGACCCAAAATTATTACTGTTTTGTTTCATGCTGTCCTCCCCCGCTGTCACAGAATATCCTGAGTTGGAAGGGACCCTCAAAGACCAGACTCCAACTCCCAGCTCCACGCAGGAGGGAACAGGCCAGAAATGAAGACAAATCTTGCTGAGCTCCCCTGCTGTATGAGCTGTGCTCTAAGATGATAAATACACCTTGTTAAAGGCCACATGGCAATTTCAGAAAATGGAAGTAGGTTCAAAAGCAGCATCCCGTGAGAGCTCCCCCCAGTCTCCTTTCTGATGGAGGGAGGTGCCCAGCAGCCCCACGCTCTGTATTTGGCTGTCGATGCTTTTCTCCACCCTACCATGTCATACAACAGCATCATGAGTCACGGATGTACACACAGTACTGTATGTGCTTTGTCATCACGTTAATTGCAGGTATTTTATGACGGGACACCAGCAGATGTCAGTTTAATCTCAAAAAAGAACTCCTATGCATGGATGATTTATCAGCCTTTGCTTCAGTGAGTTTCCACCAAAGTAACCACTTGAAGCTGGGAATCAGAAGTCAGCGTGCGTTCAATGTGCAGGATAAGCAACCAAGTCTTAATGTCGCCTTGTTTTTTCCTGCCTGGAAATCAAAAGGGTTGCACACACAATTTTTTTTGGTGGTCATTTTGCATATATGAATTTGTCAAGGCAATGCAGTATGAACATTTAATACAAGAATACAGTCAGTCATTTTGTAATTGCAATTGTCAGTCAATATCCTGTCCCACACAACAGCTAACATTTAAGCCATTCATAGGTTTGCTTTTCAGAACACAAATGTTTTAAGGTAGAACAGGTAAGCTTGATAAGGCTGGAAAACAAAAACAAAGCAACAGTGCCATCTAGAAGTGCAGTGCTGAAGACAGGAAATACTTTGGAAGATTTAAGTTCAAAGTAACAAACCAAACCAACCCAAACCTCCAAAACAATCCTTCCTACATCATTCACTGCTCCAAGCACGGGCTGGGGAAGGCGTCCCTCCAAGTCCCAGGGCATGAACTTGCAGAGGGGATCAGTGCTGATAAAAGACAAGGTACTTGCACTCATAACATCAGACGGGCCTTAATCAAAGAGCAGCTTCTGCCCAGGGGAATGCTGGCTGCCTCACAACACAGACACTGAATTTTAATTAAACTGATAGAGGTAAGCACTGATTTTGCCAATTGTAAATCTTTCCTATGAAAATCATAGCTCATTTAGCTCCTCTGTGAGCTAAGTTCCTTTTAATATTATTTAATGTGCAATGCCAATGTAAATACTCCTCTGTTTTGCTAACCATTTACGTAACTGTTTAAGTAAACCTAAATAATCTCTTCCTATCTCATCCTTTTCCTTCCAGGAAACTCAGGGCTGGGGTTTGAGGGCTGCCATGAAGCCAGGTACCTTCAGTGCTCACTGCTCTGCGATGCACATTTGGGCTTTAATAACATCAGATATCCCCAGATAAGTTCTGTGCATGGCCCAGGGAGAAGAGAAAAGAAACGGAGAGCCACAAAAGCACCCTTGGCTTCAAAAACTTTCATAAGAGATACTTCATGACTTTGCAATTCTACCAGCATGGGAACTGTAGGGAAACAAGGCAAGAAGCCCCCTCATATGACAGATAAGAGAAGTGATGTCTTCAAGTCAGCTCTCAGACACGTTATCTTGCATAAATCTTATTTCTCAATTCCTATTTTCTTCCAGTGTCTTTTTCACTTCTCCTGGTACTGGAAGCCAAGGGGATGAAAACGTTCCTTCTCTTCCAAGCTTGCACCCTCCTCACTGTACATGCTGGGTTAGCATGACTGCTAAGGGAAAAGGTTTGCTCCCTTCTCTGCAGTTGGTAATGTGCTGGGTGCCGTTCCTGGGAAGGGCTGGAACGTTCATGGGTTTGTTACAGGAAACAGAGAAGCAGCACGGCTACTTGGAAACTGAAACGTTCCTCTGGGACTGGAATGGGTAATTACAGCACTGCTAAATCCACCCAAAGCCAATACGAGGACTTCAACGTCCTGACTTATGTTAATGAATTGCTTCCATCAATTCTACATCATTAATTGAAATTTAATAATTTAAAATTAATTATGAAGAACATAATAAAGAATTTTACATTAATACTACACCTGGTAGCGTGCAGTTCATATTCCAGCAAACATTTCTGCTTCCTCAAAAGCAGGGGCACAAAGCAAACCCAAATAACTGCCATCACAAAATCAGCGTCCCAGAAGAGGGACTGTTTGCAGTCAGCCACTAACTCGTACTATTTCACACACTGCACTGCCAACCAATTTCATGCCATGCACGCGTGCACACGGAATGATCTTCAAGTATTTGCCCCAAGGATCCAGACGTACCGCGCCTCGGCCATGAGATGGCGCGCGTTGGCCTCGCAGCGCCGCACCGAGCTTAAATCCTTCACCGAAGTTCCTCCACTGTGCCCTACCATCACCGAACGAACGGGGTGAGCTTCACGCACAGGGCCCCTAAAGCCGACCTCAGCAAACCCCGTGGAAAGCCAAGCTCACAGCTGCAGGGCGAGGCGGATGGGTAGAAAAGAACACGGATGTCCTTTTGTTGATTTTATGGGACGGCGGTTCAAGCAAACATTACGGACAGCCGTTATGTACAAGTGTGACTTGTGGCAAGAAAGGAAAAAGGTCAATTTAAAAATCACTCGTATGCAGGGATGGAAGTTGCATCAGTTGTTCCTTAAAGCTAGAACACCCCCAGCCGTCTCTAAGCCCCTCAGCAGCTTTATATCCTATACATATGATTTATGCAATTATATTTCTCATACATGCATACAAAAATTACAGTACTTTTTAAGGCATGAAATGCCATTTATAAGCAGAAAAGATGCATTAGGACAATGTTTTAATGGATAAGTACACCAGTTTCCTTCCTTTCTATTTCCTTCCTGCACGCACTACTCTTAAAGCAGATTACTGCACCCTTTCCAAATTGCATGGCATCTGTTTTCCCCAGCTACAAGAGCTCTCTGTGGTTGCTCACACCTACTGGCCTTGCTGCACAACAGGATCACCTTCAGTATTATCTATGCTCCTTTCTTGTCGTTATTGCCACTATTGCACTTTTACAGACAGATTATTTCCAGATGATACAAATTCCCCGTGAGCTGAAGGATAGTTTTCTCATGGCTCTGCCAGGATGGCAGAACTCCCATCACTCTC